GAGCTATCAGCCCAGAGCCTGACACGGGGCTTGAACTCACGGACCGCGAGATCGTGAGCTGGCTGAAGTCGGACGCTTAACCGACTGCGCCACCCAGGCGCCCCAGAAAAAAATACTTTTTTTTTTTAAAAAACACAGTAAATATAATGTCTATCTTAAGCCAACTGTTACCACCTTAATAGAAATGCATAAGAAGTTTGTCTCATAAAATTCAGGAGTAAGACAAGACCACCCACTAGTACTTACATTGTTCTGGGAGATGTAGCTAATGCTATAATATATGATACTGAGATAAGAATTTTGACAACTGGAAAATAAGGTATTTATATTATTTGTAGAAAATATTTTTTTTCAATCTGGAAAGCTCAAGAGAATTACCAATGAAACCTTTTAGGTCTGGTAAAAGGATTCACAAATGTAGCCAAATAATTTTATACAAATCAGTAGGTTTATCACAGGCTGGCAATTGCCAGGTAGAAAATATAATTAAAAAAGAATGTTAATTTCAAAAAGCAATACATATGTAAAACAAAGTATAAAGTATCTAGGATTTGTCTATACAAAGAAAGTCACAGGGACACCTGGGTGGCTCTGGATGGTTGAGTGTCTGACTCAGGTCATAATTTCACAGGTTCATAGGTTTGAGCCCCGCATCAGGCTCTTTGCACTGACAGAGCCTGCTTGGGATCCTCTCTCTCCCTCTCACTCTGCCTCTCCTGCGCATGCTCTCTCTCTCTCTCTCTCTCTCTCTAAATAAATAAATAAATAAACTTAAAAAAAAAGAAAAAAAAAAGGAAAGAAAGTCACAAAACCTTACTATGAATGCAACATTTAAAAGACTGAATGGGGTGCCTGAGTGGCTCAGTCCGTTAAGCCTCCGACTCCTATTTCAGCTCAGGTCGCCATCTCACAGCTTGTGACTTCCAAGCCCCGCATCAGGCTCTGTGCTGACAGTGTGGAGCCTGCTTGGGATGCTCTTTCTTTCCCTCACTCTCTGCCCCTCTGGAATTCACTATCTCTCAAAATAAATAAGTAAACTTAAAAAAAAAAAAGACTGAATAAATACAAAGACAGCTCATGTTCTTCAATAAGATGAACAAATACTGGAAAGATATCAATTCTCAATTTATTTTATATTTCTAATGCAATTGTAATGAGAATTCCAATGGGATTTTTTGTGGGGGGATGCTAACAAAAGATTCAAAAATTTGCTTGGAAGAATAAATTGGTGAGAATGATTTAGCAAATTTTGAAGTAGACTTCAAACCAAACAGTAAATGTGTTATAAATCTATATTAAAGCTATTAACAACAATGAAACAAAAACTATGCTATAAATAGACTTCAGTTTTCATAATAATGTAATATTTTATGAAAATAGCATTTCAAATCAGCAGAGGAAAGAAAGCTTATTCAATAGATGAGTTTTCTCAGAATTGTTAGCTGTACAGATAAAAAATAAAAGATTATTCTTTAACCCCATACACTGAAATACATCTTACCTAGATTAAAAAGCATAATATATAAACACTTAAAACATTAAAATCTAGAAGAAAACATAAATGATTAGTTTACTTCCTAAGTGAGAATGACATTCTAAACAAAAGGCAAACAGAAAATAAGAAAGGTTAATATGGGAAAGGCAATGTCATATGTAACATAAATCTGTCAAGTGTATCATAATTTATAAATAAAACAGAGAAACTTTCACTTATAGAAAAGGCAGACTACATAATTCAGACCCACCCTCCTACTGAGGACAGCCAGGAGAGCTGGGTAAAATATTTTATTTTTATTTATTTTTTAAAGTTTATTTATTTATTTTGAGAGAGAGAGAGAGAGAGAGAGAGCGCGCGCACGCACACACACAAGAGGGGCAGAGAGAGAGGGAGAGTGAGAGAATCCCAAGCAGGCTCCACACTGTCACTGCAGAGCCTGATGTGAGACTCAAACTCATAAACCATGAGTTCATGGCCTGAGCCAAAACCAAGAGTTGGACACTTAATTGACTAAGCCACCCAGGTGCCCCTGAATAAAATATTTTAAAACTTCTGGTTGAAGATACCATAAAGCTAACAAGATTATAATGAAGATTTGGAAAAGGTGAAAATCTATAGAGGTGAGTCTGGCATTTGGGACCACTTTTGTAGAAGGTATGTGATGATCTCGAAGTGGCACATATATGCAGAGAACAGTGCTTTTGACAGCTTTAAGGGCTTAAGGTTGCCAAAATTGCATTCTAGGGTCTGCCAAGGGAGGGTCTGTGGCATACCTTCCCAGAGACTGCAGCTGGGCTCTGGGTCATCTGGATGGCCTAGAACACCTTGAGTCCTAAAATCAGATCAGTTACCCTGGATTGCTAGTGCCTCCAGGGACTTGGCAAAACAATGAAGTTCTTTCCAGAAGAAAAACATCATCCTGGATCTCAGAGTATTTTTATAAACATTTTCTAAATACAATGTCTGGCACACACCCAAAGATTGCCGGGCACACTAGACTTTGATAGTAAAAAATGCACATTGAATCTCTAAGGCAGTGGTTCTCAAAGTGTAGTTTCTGTATTGTTAGCATCAGTATTACCCAGTACTTGTTAGCAATGCAAATTCTCAGACCCTACCCCAGACCCATTGAATCAGAAATTTAGGGGAGATGGGGCTACAGAGAGGGCCCAGCAGTCAGTGTTTTAACAGCAGATTTTGGTGACTCAGACGCATACTAACGTTTGAGAACCACAGGAAATCTCCAAACATAAGCAGAGGGACCGCTGGCCAGACATGTTGTTAAAAGAATGGTTACTCCAGGTGGGAATGGGCCTAAGAAGCTCTGAGATTTCTTCCAACTGAAAGGTTTTGTGACTCTATGATTTTATAGACGGGAGTGGACTATAGAGCAGAATAGAAAAAATATGTCCATTGAGGAAAAAGTTGCTCTGGATAAGTGGAGGCACATAACCTGTGAGAATTCTCAATAAGCAAGGGAAATACATTACGTTAAAAAGAAGAAGAAAGAAAAAGGCCATGTTTTACAAGCTTGGATATCTTTTACTTTACTTAAACTTTTCAAAAAAAATCCACACTTTATTGCTCTGGTAATACTTCTCTTGTCATAAAAAATTCAAACATGATTAAAATGTAATAAGTCAAAGAATCAAGGATTTAATTACAAAATAATTTCTAGGGGTGCCTGGGTGGCTCAGTTGGTTGAGCGTCCAACCTCAGCTCTGGTCATGATCTTACAGTTTGGTTCGTGAGTTCAACCCCGCGTTGGGATCTGTGCTGACAGCTCAGAGCCCTGAGCCTTCTTCAGATTCTATGTCTTCCTCTCTCTCTGCCTCCCCGCCCCCCGCTTGCACTCTGTCTCTCTCTCTCTCTCTCAAAAATATAGGTTAAAAAAAAAATTTCTAGTTGTTAGATAATGTTTGATGCCCATCTGTGTTTTAATTTCCTTTTCTTTGGGGGGGGGGGCACATTTAACCTTCACAGACTCTGATTTAAAAACACTGAAGTAGGGGGACACCTGGGTGGCTCAGTCAGTTAAGCTGCCGACTTCAGCTCAGGTCGTGATCTCATGGTTTGTGAGTTCAAGTCCCACTTCAGGCTCTGTGCTGACAGCTTGGAGCCCGCTTCATATCCTGTGTCCTCCTTGCTCTCTGCCCTTCCCCCACTCATTCTCTCTCTCTCTCTCTCTCTCTCTCTCTCTCTCTCTCAAAAATAAATAAACTTAAAAAAATAAAAATCAAATAAAAACACTGCAGTTGGCCCAGGCCTTTACTTAGTATTAATAGACAGCTAAAAGTTCTGGCTTATGTATCATTCTCCTTTGCATTTTTCAGGTTGAGTAAATCTTATATATTACTCACAATGTAAATAATAGCCAAAGTGTTAAACTGGCAGATCTTTACCTCTGTGAGTTCATTAGTTCTATTTTTCATCCCAAGGGTGGTATAGGCATGGATTCTAAAGGTATAGCTGGTGGAGATATTTAAAATATTCGGGAATTTGGGATGGCACTGGCACTAATCAAGCTTGCTATAAAAGAATCCTTGAGACCTCTGCTGGGTTGGGTAACCCTCTCTTCAGTTGGGAAAGATGCCACCCAGATGCCACGGCAGTGGGGGAACTTGGGATTCAGGTCCACTGTTATTTACCAACTGATAAGGGAGCACTTCAACATCTCAAAGTCTGGCCCAGCCATACTCAAAAGCCTTTCCTGGACATTGCTCATCTCTACTTAATCAGGTGTCTCCCCACTGCTCGCCCCACACCGTGATGCTTCACATCATCCAACCTTGTCTCTTTCTGAGTAGGCTTCCTGTATCACTGTCTCGGATTCATCCACGCTTAACTCGGAGGACTCTGGAAACTTCCTTGACAAGGCAAATAGCACGGCATCGTGGAGGGTGAGGAAGAGCTGGGCCTTGGTGATGCCAGCGTCAAAGAAATCATTCTTCTCAAATGCCTTGACCACAGAAGCTGCAAACCAAACCCAGAACATCCACAGGGTCAGACGCCTGAGGAGGACAGCACCCAGGGTACAAACAGTCCTCTCATAGGGTGAAGGATACTCACTGTGACACCCTGAAAAGAGCACCAAAATGTTGGCATTTTGGAAAGCGTTGCACATCTGTGGGGAGAGAGCAAATCAGCGTTAGTGATCTTCACACGCACTACAAAAGAGCCTTCTAATTAGAGGAGTTTTAATACCCCTTTGGCCATTCACTTGTCTGGGTATAGGTACCTCTGCATTCCAGTTCAGCTCTATAAACATTTGATGCGTGGACTTCCATATGCCAGGAAATGTCTAAAGTGCTAGGAATACAAAAGAGAATCAGATGGTCTCATGTGAGGTGGGGAGTGAGAGGGAGTGTTGCCCATGGTCTCTGGGGGGCAGGGGCGGGGAAACAGTTCCCATAAAGAGGTAATGCTTCTGGGGAGCCTGGGTGGCTCAGTTGTTTAAGTATCTGACTCTTGATTTAGGCTCGGGTCATGATCTCATGATTCACGAGATCGAGCCCAGTGTCAGGCTCTGTCCCTCTCTCTCTGCCCCGCCCCTTCCAAATAAATACATAAACTTAAAAGAGAGAGAGAGAGAGAGAGAGAGAGAGAGAGAGAGAGAGAGAGAATGCTACTGAGGACAGTGCTAGAAGAGAGACAGGCATGGGTATGATGGGAACACAATGGACAGCCTTCATGAACAGCCGTTCTTGGTATTATTGTTTAGTGTATGCATGTGACCCCCTTCTTCCTGGAGTTCGCTGAGCAGAGGAGGAAAACGAGGCTCAGAGCTGGTCAAGTGATATTGTAGAGAATGGAATTCAGGAGTCCTGAAGGTCATATCTGGAACTTCTCTGCAAAGTTGCATTTAACTTTAGTAAAACAGCAGATATTTAGGAGTAGCAGATCAGTAAACATCAGATACTGACCTCAAGTTTACTTCAGCCAGTATATCTGCTCTGGTGCGATAACTTTTAAAGTCCATGTTGACCTTAACACTCTCAGATTGAATAGACTCCAACCCTGAGCAAGGAGTTAAAATATCAAAAGACACAAATAAAGCAGACTCCACTTGGGGCACTTAGGTGGCTCAGTTGATTGAGCATCCGACTCTTGACTTCAGTCCAGGTCATGATCTCATGGTCTTGAGATCAAGCCCCACATTGGGCTCCATGTGGGCGTGGTGCCTGCTTGTGACTCTCTCTCTCTCTATCTCTCTCTATCTCTGCCCCTCTCCTCTGCCCATGCTCTCTCTCTTTCTCAACAAAACAAAACCAAAACAAAACAAAACCAAAACACAAAAACCTGATACTTCTTTTATCAAGAGGAAACAAGAAAATCATTCTTGATCATGGTCATTTGATAAAGAGCCACTATGGACATACTTTATTTGTTTGTTTGTTTGTTTATTGGCAGAGGGAGAGAGAGAGAGAGAGAGAGAGAGAGAATCTTAAGCAAGCTCCACACCCAGCATGAAGCTCCATGCGAGTCTCCATCTCACAACTATGAGATCCTGACCTGAGCTGAAATCAAGAGATGGACACTTAACCGACTGAGCCACCCAAGTGCCTCTGGACATACTCTAAATGACAAGCAATGGGAGAGTGACATTTCATGAATTAGGAAGAAGCTTAAATTGCATGATTGTCTCTAATAAGAATGACTGCTGGGATTTTTTTTTCAGTAAATTTAAGTTTTCAAAGTTAAAGTAAACAAAAAAAAATGATTTCCTCCAATTGGGCTGTATAAAACAATTAGAGAACGGTGGGGCGCCTGGGGGCTCAGTCCGTTAAGTGTCCGACTTCGGCTCAGGTCATGATCTCACGGTTTGTAAGTTCAAGCCCCACATCCAAGCCCCCGCTTTGGATCCTCTGTCCCCTTCTCTCTCTCTCTTCCCCTCCCCTGCTTATGCTCTTTCTCAAAAACAAATAAATATTTAAATCTTTTTAAAAAAAGAAGAACAATTACAGAAGGAATGAAGAAATGTGTAACTTTAAGGTGAGAAAGTGCACCTCGAATCTCTGAAGGCTGTAAAGTAAAGGTGTCTACATTGCCTCTACATTGGGCTGGAGTAGAAAGTCATTAACACAGGCCAGGTGTGGATGGGTTATGCCAAGGACCAGAACATATGGTGCCTCCACAAAAAAAGGAAAGCAAGAGGGGAGAGACAGAATAGCACCACTCTTACTACAGAACAGGAGGAAGAACGGTATAAAGTCAGATGCTTTGAGTCCCCATGCTGGGCAGGCCGCTTACTAGCTGTGAGCCTAGAACTCCTAAGGGGGAATATGACTTGCTTCTCAGGGATAGTGGGAGAATTAAATGAAATAGTGTATATGAATGTGCCCAACTCAGTCTGCCATGTAGCAGGCATTTGATAATGTAGGTTTAATGACATCTAAAGCAGTAACTACCAAGTGAGAATGGGAGAAGAGAACGCACCCCAGCAGTACACCCTGAGATGGAGAAGTCCAAAAGTTGAGACATCACCAAGTAGAACTGAATCTGCAAATGGGGTGGAGAAGAGGATGTCTTGGATGGGAAAGCCCTTAACGTTCATCTCTTCCAAGTCTCGTTTTATGTATTTACCTTTTACATATTTATTTGTTTTTGGGAGAACACAAGCAAGAGGGGCAGAGAGAGGGGGACAGAGGATCTGAGGCGGGCTCTGCACTGACAGGCTGACAGCAGCGAGCCTGATGTGGGGCTCGAATTCATGAACCGCGAGATCGTGACCTGAATCCAATCAAAGTTGGATGCTCAACCGACTGAGCCACCCAGGTGCCCCCCTTCCAGGTCTCTCGTTTTATAGATGAGCAAACGAAGGCCCGGTGCAATTTAGTAAATTACCTCAGGTCTGATGGACAGTGAACAGTAGCAAACCCAGGACAGAGTACACACCCACAGAGTGCCAACCAGAGTTCTTTCTGCTACGAGAAGCTTCCTGTTGCCTCAAACCAAAGAGGAACTGGACTCACTTAAGACAGAATCATATTTCCTTAGGAACAAAGTTTGATAAAATAGGATAAAAGAATAGGATAAAATAGGAATAAAGTTTGATAAAAGAGGATAAAAGAAGGAAAGTCAACCAAAGGAGCAGGTTTCAAAAAACAAAACAAAACAAAACAGAACAAAACAAAACAAAACAAAACAAGTGGGTGCAGTCAGCGTCCAGGAAGTGGGTGTTCAGGATGTTTAAACCTGAGCCACCACCAAAAGGAGCAAGAGTGAGGCAGAGGGCTGTAAACTGAGATAAGCTGGCTGAAAGGCAGATACAGTACTTAGAAGACATCAACAATAAAAACCGATACAGTTAGCTGTGCACCTAAACTGTCCAGGCTGTATAAGAAGGAGAGGAATGAAAATTGTCAAGAGAAATCAGAGAGTAGGAGAGAAGCCGGGACTCAGGGATACGGCTTCTGAAGGAAACGTCTTCCCTGCCCTTTGCACCCAATGATGCAGGCAATGAGGAGGGAACTGGGGGAGATCCTGTAGGTTCCGGACTGGGCAGCCCCAGGCTTGCCAGGGCCATTTTATCATGTCTTCACATCTGAGAGTGTTTTACAATGTCTACCTCAGAGCAGATGAAGAGTGAGAATTCTTGGTGTGCTTTTTTTCTCCTGTAGCATTCAGACCTATTGAAAAGATGTGCAGTGAACTCCCAGGAGATCCTGGGAGTTGCTGGGTGTGGCACAGATAGCTGTTTTCCATTCTGGATTTTTTGAGAAGTGACATGCCTTGCTTACGGAGCCAACCCCAGTTCAAAAAACAAGGTTGGTTTCTTTCCTTTTCATTCCGGTTGACCTTAAACTATCTTTAGTGTCCAAGTTTCTAGTGGCCCTGGGGTCACATAGCAGCTGATCAGTGACTCAGAGGATTCGATCAGGGTCGGGGCTGGTGAGGGGGGGGGGCGGGCAGTGGTAGGAGGGGATCAGAGCTCTTGTGAAAGCCTGCTCAGTACTTACTTGTCTTAAGGACACTGAAGCCCGTGAATCCACGAAATGTACCATGGAGAAATCCAGGATAATGGTGTGGATGCTGGGTAGATGAGAGGTATCCGAGAAGGGAAGGAGTGACCTGTTCCTCTCTTGGGTTTCCACAGCGTCAGGCAGTGGCATCAAGCTGTTTCTACGGGGGTCATTAGAAACCCAAACTTTGTCCACGTCCTCGTAGCTTTGCCCTTGATTTCTGTAAGTCGTGGAAGATACGCTGTACGGTACTTCCTCATGGGACACGGATTGGCACATGTTCATGCTGTCGAAATGCGAGCAGCGGATCAGGTTAATGGAGGATGAGTCGCGGTCCTGTCTACTTTCAAATCGTTCTGCGTAGACAACCTGGGGCAACAGAGTTAGGGGAGGACCGTGAGGAGGCTCGAGCAGGGGCTACAAGTACCTGCAATGATGCCATTTCTGTCTCCTGACTCACCTCCCTCTCCCTCAGGAAACCTCCCCACAGACCAGGTGCTTGGATTTCGCTTGGACACCTCACTGTCACTTCACGCTCGTGACCGAAAAAGCCGCATTCATCTTGCCATATCCTGGCCGCTCATGGCATTGCCCTCCCAACTTTCCTCTGCGTACCGATGATGCTTTCATTGTCCCGTGAGCCAGACTTAAGATAATCTTTGGTTTATTCCTTCCCCTCATCCCTGGGCTCTAGTTTGTCTTGGTGCCTACTAAGAGTTTGTTTGAAGGGTTTCTTCCATCAGTCCCTTTTCTCAACACTTCCATCTTTCATCAGGCTTCCTTAAGAAGACAGAAATTACTCGCGCGGGCCTATTTTTCCCTTTCACTCTTTTCATCCTAATAGGCCTGGAGAGCCTGCCGTGGCTTAAGGACAGCACCAAGCACCGGGAATACAATGGCAGGGAAGAGGTGAATGCCCACTTTGCAGTCACAGGTAATGACTACGCGTCCCACCTTCTACGTGGGGAGAGGGCACGTGTCCGTTCAAAGCATCAACAACAACAGAGATGGACAAAAACCATGAGGCACTTGCTAGAGTGGTACAGTCTGGGCGATATTGTGCTTATTATATTGCTTATAAAAATTTTTTTTAAATACAAAAATTGGGGGGGGGCATCTGGGTGGCTCAGTTGGTTAAGCATCTGACTCTTGCTTTTTTTTTTTTAAACAATTTTTTAAAGTTTTTAAATTTATTTTGAGAGAGAGAGAGAGAGAGCAAGTGGGGTAGGGGCAGAGAGAGAGGGGAGAGAATGAATCCCAAGCACACTCTGCATGGTCAGTGCAGAGCCCGATGCAGGGCTCGAACTCAGCAATGGTGAGATCATGACCTGAGCCAAAATCAAGAGTCGGGCGCTTAACTGACTGAGCCACCCAGGCACCCCTAACTGACTCTTGCTTTCGGCTCATGAGCTCGCGATTCGTGGGTTCAAACCCTGCATCAGGCTCTGTGCTGACAGCACGGAGCCTGTCTGGGATTCTCTCCCTCTGCCTGTACCTCCCCCCACTCAAAATAAATAAATACACATTTAAACAAGTACAAAAACATTAAGGTAAAAACCGTACGAGGTAGTATATTTTGCATAACAGAAAAAAAAGTGGTATGCACAGATAATAAGTTACGGTTCAAAGGACAGGGGTGTTCCTTAAGGCTTCAGAGTCACTGAGGCCAGGCCTCTGGAGGACAGGCACAGTGACAGGGAGATGCAAGATCCTTCAGGCAGAAGGAGACCTCTGAGAGCCTCCCTTTTCTCTCCTTCATCCACTCTACACTCTTGTCCTTCAAAGACTTTCATGATCCACTCGTGCAGAAAGTGTCTGCCTGAACTTACTTTCCAGGCCTCTTGCTGTTGAGGACCTCATAGTTGTTTCTACCTCAGCGTCTTTGTTCAAGTCCGTCCACAGACGGGGAGTCCTCTTTTTTCCTATCTGACCTAAATCCAAATTTCTCTCTCCTGCCTAGCTCAAGCCCGTTGCTATCAAGAAGTTGTTTCCTGACTTCTCGAACTCATGCTGATCTCTCTTTAGGATTGTTAAAATCTTTACTTAGAGTTGTTAAAATCTAAAGACACAGTTTTGAACGTGACAGATACTGTGTGGAATGGTTTACTCTCCTACTTCATCAATTTTAAGACGTCCCAGTACTTTCTATATTATCAAGAAAGAAAAGAAATCACTGCAAATTAAACTGTGGCATGCCATCAGCTGTGCACTGAATCCAAATTTCAGAGATGTGAAAAAACATGGAGCATAGGATTGACAAAATACAATAATAGCCGTGTAGGTCACATTAACAGAGAGTCATCTCCCTAGTTTGATTTACAATTCCATGAACTGGGGCGCCTGGCTAGCTCAGTGAGTGGAGTGTGCAACTCTCGATCTCGGGGTTGTGAGTTCGAGCCCCATGTTGGGTGCACAGATCACTCAAAAATAAAATCTTTTAAAAAAATTTCATGAATTGCTACAAAATAACTCTCTGAGTGGGTGTAGAGATGAAACAAAGTTGTCCATGAACTGATCAATCTTAAAGTGGATGGTGGGTACACAGAGGCTCATACTTGTGTCTACTTTTGTCAATGTTTTGAAGGACAAATGTCCTTTTTAAAAAAGGACAACCTGGGGGTGCCTGGGTGGCTCCATCGCTTGAGCGTCCAACTCTTGATTTTGGCTCAGGTCATGATCTCACAGTTCGTGAGTTCCAGCCCCGCGTCAGGCTCTGCACTGACCGTGCAGAGCTTGCTTTGAATTCTCTGTCTCCCTTTCTCTCTGCCCCTTCCCTGCTCACGCTCACTCTCTCTTTCTCTCTCTCGAAATAAACAAACATTAAAACAATTAAAAATGAATGAATGAATGAATAAATAAATAAATAAATAAATAAAATTAAAAAGGGCAGCCTGGATGAACCTTGAGGACATTATACTAAGTGAAGTAAGCCAGTCACAAAAAGACAAATACCGTATGATTCCACTTAATGAGGTATCTGGAATAGTCAAATTCATAGAGACAGAAGGTAGAGCGGTGGTAGCCAGGGGCTGGGCAGGGGGTGGGGGGCGGGGAGGAGGAAACGGGGAGCTCTTGTTTAACGGGTACAGAGCTCCAGTTTTGCAAGATGAAAAAATTCTGGAGGTAGGTGGTAGTGATGCTTACACAACAATGGGAATATATTTAACACTACTGACTGTACACTTAAAAATAGTTACCATGGTAAGTTTTATGTTATATGTCTTTTTGCCACAAGAAAAAAGAAAAAGAAAACAGAGCTACTTAAGGGCAGAGACCCTTAAAATTCATTTTCTTTTTTCATTGCATCACAGTTCTGGGCACAGGGTAGAAACTCAAATGCTTTGTGATCCTATTCTGCTCTGACGTGTATTTGCTGATGTCCTGTAAACATCCTCTACAATGCTCAGTGCAGTGTGGATACTGAACAAAAATTTGATACAGTGTTAATTTCATCCTCTTGGCTGGAAAGTTGGTGTTTTCAGGGAGTTCAGTAGAGCCTACACTCCACTAGGGTGTATGGGAAGGAGAGTGGGTGCTTGGCGTTTGGAAGGGCCAACATGAGGAGGGGGACAGGAGATGTTTGTGGTGGGGGAGTAAATGTGTGTGTGTGTGTGTGTGTGTGTGTGTGTGTGTAGATAGAGCTGCCCCTCCAGGGTATAAGTATAGGCTGGGTGAAAGGCCCCCAAAGCTAGAAATGAGCAGCCCCGCTGAGGGGAAAGGAAATAAATATTAGATGAAGGGAATTAATTTAATTTAGATCAAGTCTGAATTGGAAATAATGAGCACTTTATAATTCATCAGCCAAAATAGCCTTCAGATGGTGTGAAGTTTCCATCTTCGCTTACCCGCCCTCCACCCCCCACCACCATTTCCTCGGTCACAGGCAGACATCAGGAGACCCTGGCACGTCCTTGAGAAGGGCAGCCACCTTAACTCTGCTGCTTTTGTTGGAACTGGAAAACAATCTTTCAGCCACTTGTTTTCAGAAATCGAAAGCCAGGCAGGTGACAGTCAGGGAAATAGGTATAACTAGGGTATTACCGTCCATCTCAGTAGGCAAACTGTGCTCTCTGTGCTCAGGTCAGTCACTGGCCATTGAGTAGCGACCCCAACATCTCCTCCTACCTACTAAGGTCAAGATCTACATCTCAAAAGGGGACCGTGCCTTCATTGCTGGGTAGGAATCTCTGATTTCCAGTTACCCATGGTCCATCTAAGAGTCAAAGCCCCTGAGGGGGTTTTGATTTTCTTTCCTTACTTCTTCTTCAACTACCAGTGCACTTCTTTATAAAATGTGGAGAAAAATGCAGAAAGGAAAAGAGGTTTCCAACCCTGGGTGGTGGCTCCTGTTCGTCACAGTTGCAGAAACACTGACAGATCTTTTCTTCCTGTGAGCTGTCTTCATTTTGATTAAACAGGTGGAACACTTCTTCTTCTTTAAGAGGCACCCCTACCATTTCAACCTGAGAGATGTAAGAGAGAGGCCAGATGGTGAGTGGGGGAAGGAAGAGGGGGTGTCCCTGGGGAGGGGGCGGGGGAGGGGAGCAGGTGGAGAAAGGCAGGGGAGGAAGCCACCACCTCTTTTAATAGCTTGTGCTTTAGCTGATCAACATTGACGAATGTAATGGAGTTGCGGCACTGGAAGATTTTCACCCCAGGAATGTTTTTAACCTGCAAGACAAATGTGAAGTGGAGGGAAACTTCTCAGCTCTTTTGTAGAATAAGAAAGCGTCTCTAGAACTCCCTAGAGAATCTGGATTCTTCTTCCTAAGAAGCCAGGATTAGCAAATTCTTCCCTGTCATTTTCACCCCCTGCTTTTCCTGCTTTCTTCTCCGCCTTCCATTTGTTCTTTTCTTTTTCTTGGCCTTCCCCACCGCCCCTCCCCACCAAGGACATGATCCTTAACTGACTGCAGCACTCTGAGGATCTACCTACTTAAGTTCCCCACCTCCGCTGTCCGGCATCACTTTCCCCGCCTCTGCAAACATGCGTCCGTAGGTTAGCAAACAACGACAGCAGAGGGATTGTTGTAGAAAAACCAAGCAGCAGGCCTGGTCCAGACCATCCTTTGGGCAAAGGAGCGGGACTGATCGGGGATCTTACCTCCCGATAGTCATTGAAGCTTCTATAGATGTTGGTGTTAGGGATCTGACCCAGGAGGAAAATCTTAGTTCTGAAAGGAAACATATGTGCTTTCAGGTCATAGTTGCCTTACCTCGCCACAGCCAGCCTCCTATCCCCTGAGACAAAGTACCTGTGTGACCGAACAGCGACGATGAAGAAGGCAAAGGCTAGTGAAAAGAGTAGTCCCACATCCAGTCCCAGGAAAATCGCAGATACGAAAGTAACCATCCAGATAATCTTATGGAGAAGCGGGGGGAAGGAAGAAGGGGAAGGGAAGACCATGACCATAAGCACAAGTGGGAAGATCAGTTGTATCTCTCAACCCATCTTCTCCTTCCCGCTCCCTCCCGAAACCCAGGGTGCAGAGAACAAACTGCACAGCCCTCTGGGCCGTCGCCTTCACAAATGATTGGGTCCCAACGCTGCCTAGCCATTCTTGCAGGTGTCCTTGATCACTTCTCTCTTCAATTCTCTCTTGAAACCTCATGTGCAAAATAGGGATGACAAAATCTACTTTATAGGCTTTTTTTTTTTTTTGTCATTAAAAATATCATCCCCAAAGCAACACAGAGCACTCACCAAATAGTAGTTGCTATTTTAAGACCTTTTGTGGCTATTGGGAATCTTTAACATCCTTTTTGGCCCCTTACCTCACCACCTTCTCCATCGCTCTCAGCAAGCCACTTGACTTTCATCTTCATAGTGTGGATAGGCTAAACCTCCCTTGAATATTTGCTCCCCCCCCCCCCCCCCC